AGCTACTCAGTTGAAGATATAGACTGTCTGTTTGAGAATAGTGCAGAGACCAAGCTTTTGGCGACCTGCGAGAGAGCCGCTAAGTTGGATATATAGGCTGCCTATTTGAAAATAGTGCAGAGGTTATCCTTTTGGCGACCCGTGAGAGAGCCGCTAAGATGGAGACATTAGCTGTCTGCTTGATAGTAGAGCAGAGATAGGTCAAGTTTTTGGCGAGCCGTGAGATGATTCACCTCGCCTAGACTTGTTGATTTCCTCAGCATTCATATATTTTTGAGCTTTGGCCAATAATTCTGGCATGCTTTTTAGTGGTCGCTTCATTATTGAAAAGAGGAAGCTTGATGACTGGAGGCCTCTCAAGAAGGAGGTTATGCTGACCTTATCATTGGGCTTCTCGACCTAAAGGACTTCCTCGTTAAAACGAGTGAGGTAGCTTCTTAGGCTCTCGTCTCGATCCTTCTTTATACTGAGCAGATAGGTGATAGGCTTCTAGTGGCGACGTCTTCCAATAAAGTGTGACACAAAGGACTTGCTCAGCTCAGCAATTGAGCCAATGAAAGTTGGGGAAAGCTTGTCGAACCATTGTCGAGCGGATCCCTTCAAGGTGGTTGGGAACGCTCTATACATGATTTTGTCGGGGACACTATGTAGCTGCATCAAGGTCTTAAAAGCTTCGAGGTGGTCAAATGGATCATTCGTGCCATTAAAGGTTTCGACGAATGGCATCTTGGATTTCTGAGGAAGTGGATAATTCGCCACGTGATGTTTGAAAGGTGTGTCAGTTCGACTTACGAGATAGTCCACTGTCTTGAGTCTCTGTGCCTTCATGGCGTTGAAGACGTCACCCAATTGATTTTGTAACTCCTTAATTTTTTTGTCTCAGTATTAGGAGGAGGTCTTCTAAAATTATCATGGAAATTGTTTTCACCCTTATCCTCTTGGAAATAGGGGTCTCCACTCTGGGGAGCAAGAGCTGGAGGAGGAGGTGGAGGTCCTCATGGTAGGCCCCCCTGTGTGGGGTGCCTAGGAGTACTCCCAAAGATGGGGCGCCTCCTTGATGGGGAGCGCCTAGGTGGAGAGCTCCTTGATGGACAAGGCGTGGAGCTCCTCTAACTTGAGGTCTAGATTGTGCTCCTCCTTGTTGTCCGAGCATCAGTTGCAGAATCTGTTGGCTTTGGACTATAAGCTGTTACATGGTCTCTAGCATTTGCTGCGCATTTGAGACTGGATTGGGTGGAGGAGCAACCTCTTCCTCTCGTGGTGGAATGTCTTCAAGCTGATTCATGGATCTAGCGGTAATCACCTTTGATTCAACAAAGAAAATGTTTAGGTGAGAACTTTGTCGTTCTCACAGACGACGCTAAACTGATGATGCACAAAAAAATTTGCATATCACCTGTCAATTAAGTAATATAAAATGCAATAAAGTAAGTAAAGGGAGAGAGAAGACAAGATTTATAGTAGTTCGGTCAATATAACCTACGTCCACTTTGAATGACAAGGGTCGCTGGTATTTTATTATCTCTGGTGTGGAAGGAGAGCAGAATATTACAAGCTTTGAGAGAGGAGGATAGAATTATCTCAAATGAGTCTGATGCCACCAAGTTTTGGCAGGGCTTACAATTTATAGTGACTTAGCGTAGTAATTGAATAGGTAGTCTAGCAATCATAACGAGTTGAAGCAGTTTAATAGTCATAACGGATTTTGGTGACTTTAACTGTAATTTAATAGCTTCACGACCTCTCCTTTCCTCAACGGGCAAGGAAGTTATGATGTTCTCCAAAAGATTTGGTCAAAGGATGAGGAAAAGTTGACTCTTTCCAAGCGGCAAGGGTGAGGCTCTTGGATGCTCCCTTGGTGGCGTAGAGGAGGCTCTTGGATGACTTTTATTCCAAGATGGTAGAGGAAGCTCTTTGATGACCCTTACTCCAAGGTGTAGAGGAGACTCTTTGATGACCTTGCATACTTCCTGCTGATGTTGCTCCTTGATTCTTAATGAGCTTGTTCGGGTTGACCACATTAAACTAGACTTGTTGGATCTCTTGGAAATGGGCTATAAACTCGGACTGGGCTTATAATTTGAACTAGGCCCATGGGCTTGACCCATCAATATTGGCTTAATGTAATCTCTTATTCTAACAATTGTTAAACATCGAGACGAAAATATCATGTGCTTTGTATATCCTTGCTATTAAGGGACATCTATATCATTCATGGCTCTAAATAATGGTAATTAGTGATATAACGGTATCGATAACAGTATAATGGACACAGAATATAACGGGTGTTATGTAATAGTAAAGAAAATTATAGTCGTAAATTTTTTTTGTACATTCATAATTACTGGCAAAATTCAAAAAATTTCCATATTTTTTGTCCAAAATAAAATAAATGCAATTTTTTTGTAATTCAGAATAATTGTTTTATTATATTCATGATTCTAGTATACTAAATTTCGTAATCAATCTAAATTAAATGATAAATGAAGAAAAATTAGTCTTGATGGGCCCGGCCTAAGACCCAACTCAGGTTGTGGGCCCAACTTGAATAAAGGATTCACTTTACGAAATCCAATGAGTCCAGCCCAAAAGAAATCTACGCCCAGTCAGGCTCATTAAGGAGTAGGCAGCGTAATTCCAACAGCCTCATCCAAGTCATATTGGAGTAAGCGTCATCCCAAAAGCCTCATTCAAACCACCTTAGAGTAAGGAGGGAAGAAGTTAACTATGCCATCCTATGACCTGGTCTTGAGGAGAGCTCTGCAACTGCCTTATTTGTTGCGAAGATGATGCCACCTCCACTAAATTAGTCTTTTAGTTACTAATAAACCGTCTCAATCTATTAGGAGACGACTATAAAATAAAAGTCCCGCCTACGCATGAGGGAGTATCTATGACGGACATCACCCACAATCGAGCACATCTGCTATCACTCTCATCTCTCTCACTACTTGTATGTCCCTACTCTCCCTTCACTCCTCGAAGTAATAAAATACTCAAGTCATCCTAGTCCTTCATAGTGGATGTAAGTCACGTTGATCGAACCACTCTACATCTTTATCTTGCTTAAGTTACTCTCTCTCTTTATTTAATTACGACATTTATTACTAATTATTTGACAGATAGTGCATAAAGCCAATTTATGCATCATCAAATCTAATCAATATCTGTTCATTTGAAAACTCTATTTGAAATGGGGATGGTTGTGTCACAATATCAGTTGTCAGATACTTTTGGCAATTGCCAAATAAAAATTTTGATTAATCACAAATTGTAATTTTGAAAGATTGTTTAAATCTTAATTTATACTTTTAAAGATCAAAATTTTTAATTTGCACCCTAAAAAATATGAATCTACATTAATGCGCACTTGAAACTAACAGATGTTAATTTACAGTCTAAAACTAAATAGATAAATTACATCTAAACTCCTTCATGCTTGTTATTTAATCACTTAGACCCCTCATATTTGACATATTAAAATACATCCCATGAGAATCTAAATATGATTAAAAATGTTCTCTCAATTGGACATCCAAATAATTATATTCGAGTGATGTATTGCATTAAATATAAAGAAAATTATATAAATACTTGTATTATATTGGGTATTCAAATGGTAAACTTGATTTTAAACTTTAGAGTATAATAACTCTACAAAAAAAAAAGGGTAGTATGAAAATTATATTTTTTTATTAGATGAAATCATGTTTTTTAATGGTTATATTAACAGATATTAACGACAAAGAATTATTTATTACACGTGTACAAATGTCAGGAGATATAGAAAAAATATTTTAAATGTAAGGGGATCTAAATGATTAAGTGACAATCTTTCGCCGATTATCTATTTCGGCTATACAACCACGGGCGCACAGAGTAAGCTAAAACAAAAAATAGGCCATTATGGCAACATAACAGATTGTAATGTTATCACGTTACATCCCGTTATGATTCCTTAATGACCGTTACTTACGTGAAAAAAATTCCTTTCCTTTATATTGGGGTATAACAGTATTGAAGGCCACCGTTCCCATCACATAATGGCCGTTACGCGTTGTAATTGCCAATTTTAAAAACTATGATATCATCATGGACGCAAAGATGATGAAATTTAATTTTTGAGTAATGTTATGTAATTTAAATGTAATCTAAAAAGTTATAATTCAAATGCATATCATTTTTTTAGATGAATGGGTCTCATTAATTTTTTTAATTTATACTCACTCATCCAACACTCATCAAAGAAATAATATGAATTTGTGTTATAACTTTTAGGTACCATTTGAGTTGCGTAACATTTTTTTTTAATTTTTATATATGTGGAGTTTCTTATTGGAATAAGTATTGTATATGTGTTAAATCAAATCAACTGGTGACATGGTTATTTGGTTTGTTTGGTAGAATTTAATGGTCGGTTTTCCCAAAAACACAGATATAAAAGAGTTGCAATTATCAAAATTTAACCTAGAAGTAAAGTGCGATCAGAAACTGTCCAGCCCTCGACCCAACTTGTGCCGAGTCTTCCCTGCCATATAGTACTTCTATTATATGTTTTTCTTAAAGAGTATGGCAGTATTCCTCCTTTATTGAAAAAATCTAAAATAAATTTTGTAGAGTAACCAAAACCTCTACATAGTACATGTGCCTCACAAACAGTTGGGTAGGTGAACAGTTTTGTTGTTTCTATATAGCATTTATGACCTAATTCAATGTAGTCATTGAAATAATTTGTTATAAGTTCTAATGTTATATGAAAATCACTTTCAATCTAATACTTACATTGAATTAGGTCCAGAATAACCTTCTAAATTAAATTCAAATAACATTTTCCTACCAAGTGATATGGTCCCAACAGCATTACTCTTCTATAAATATCCATGCGTTCCATTAGTTTTCTCATCTGTCCATTCTTTTCTCTGATGCAAGCTCTACTCAAATTTCCCAAAGCCATGAATTTCCCATACCTTTCAGCCCTTAAACTTGTCATGTTAGCTGTAATCTTGTCCTCCCAGAATGTTTTAGCTGTAACTCTTCTATAAATATCCATGCGTTCCATTAATTTTCTCATCCATCCATTCTTTTCTCTAATGCAAGCACAACTCAAATTTCCCAGAGCCATGAATTTCCCATACCTTTCAGCCCTTAAACTTGTCATTTTAGCTGTAATCTTGTCCTCCCAGAATGTTTTCCTTGGGGCTGAATCGGCCACGCTAAGCACAGACAGAGAGGCCTTGCTCTCATTCAAGTCTCTCATAAGTATGGAACCACCTAATGCTCTCTCTACTTGGGATCCAAACTCATCCCCTTGCAACTGGACTGGAGTAGTCTGCAACAAACTCCGCCAGAGGGTGGTTGAGCTTGACCTCTCCGACATGGGAATAACAGGTTCCATAAGCCCTCATATAGGCAACCTCTCATTTCTTAGATCACTTCAACTGCAGCATAACCGATTCACGGGAACACTCCCTGATCAACTTGGGAATCTTTTTCGGCTGAGGATTATGAATATTAGCTCCAACAGCGTAGAAGGTGCGATACCACGAAATATAAGCCGGTGCAGGGAGCTCCGGATCATTGACATGATGCAGAATGAGATTTCAGGAAGAATTCCCGAAGAGCTCGGTGAGCTCGCAGAGCTCCAAGTCTTGAACTTGGGAAGAAACCAGCTTTCAGGTGCAATTCCACCATCCATAGCCAACGTTTCTTCTCTCACTGTTTTAATTTTGGGCACCAATACGATAGGTGGATTGATATCCAGTGACCTGTCTCATCTTCGAAATTTGAAGCAGCTAGATCTCACCATTAACAATATCACTGGCACCATACCACCATCCATATGGAACATGTCTTCCTTGGTGAATTTAGCCGTGGCTTCCAATGATTTGTGGGGAGATCTTCCTAACGATGTTGGAGTTACACTCCCAAACCTTCTAATCTTCAATTTTTGCATCAATAAATTCACTGGCACTATTCCAGGGTCTTTGCACAATCTCACAAAGATACGAGTCATTCGCATGGCACACAACTTGTTACATGGGACGGTACCACCAGGATTGGGAAATCTTCCAGACCTTCAAATGTACAACATTGGATTCAATGAGATCATTAGCTCTGGCGAAAGTGGTCTCGATTTCATTACATCTCTGACAAATAGTACCCATCTCCACTTCCTTGCAATTGATGGCAATCTTCTAGAAGGTATAATTCCAGAGTCCATAGGCAATCTTTCCAAGGTTCTGTCCAGTTTATACATGGGAAGGAACCTTATTCATGGTAGTATACCTGCCTCGATTGGTCTGCTTAGTGGCTTAACTTTGTTAAATTTGAGCTACAACTCAATTTCTGGTCAAATTCCCCAAGAAATGGCTCAGTTAGAGAAACTGCAAATGTTGGGTTTGGCCGGAAATCGTATCTCCGGCATAATTCCAAGTTCTCTGGGTAATTTTCAAAAGTTGAATGATATTGATTTATCAAGGAATGAATTTGTTGGTAGCATACCCACAAGTTTTGGGAATTTCAGGTATTTGTTCTCAATGGACTTGTCTAATAACAAGCTCAATGGAGGCATACCCAAGGAAATTCTAAATCTCTCAAGTTTAAGTACCTTCCTCAAACTATCTAACAATTTCCTATCTGGGCCTCTGCCTCAAGAAGTTGGGTTCCTAGAAAATGTTGGCACAATTGATCTCTCAAGCAACCGTTTGTCAGGTAACATTCCCCCGTCAATTGCGAAGTGTCAGAGCTTGGAGAAACTGTTTATGGCCAACAACATGTTTTCGGGTCCTATTCCAGATACTTTAGTGAAAGTGAAAGGCTTGGAAATTCTTGACCTCTCCTCAAACCAACTCTCTGGTTCGGTTCCTCCTGGTCTACAAAACTTGTCCCTACAATTTTTGAACCTCTCCTTCAACAACCTTGAAGGAGAAATTCCTACTGGTGGGATTTTCTCCAATATCTCTAAAGTCCATCTGGAAGGCAACCCAAAGCTTTGCTTTCATTCAGCATGTCAAAATAGTGGTGGTGGTGGTCGAGTACGATTGATATTAGTTCGTGTTATAATAGCAATTGTTGCCTTATTAGCACTATGTTTCACTGTTGGCTTGTTGTTCTACATAAGAAAAAGCAAAGCAAATGTCATGGCATCATTTGAATCCTTCAAGAGGCAACACCAAATAGTCTCTTATGATGAACTTCGTCTTGCAACTGGAAATTTCAACCAAGAAAATCAGATTGGGCGTGGTAGTTTCGGAGCTGTTTACAAAGGGTATCTTGGAGAAGGAATCGCCGTCGCGGTTAAGGTCCTTGACACACAGATAAATGGATCTTGGAAGAGTTTTTTTGCAGAGTGTGCAGCTCTGAGGAACACCAGGCACCGGAATCTTCTTAAAGTGATCACCACGTGCTCAAGTGTAGATTTCAGGAACATGGAATTTCTTGCTCTTGTTTACGAGTTCATGAGCAATGGGAGCTTAGATGATTGGATTAATGGAAAGAGAAGGAAGTCAGATGGTGAGGGATTAGATATTGTGGATAGAGTGAATGTGGCAAGCGATGTTGCATGTGCCATAAACTATTTGCATCATGAGTGTGAATCCCCGATGGTGCATTGTGATTTGAAGCCAAGCAACGTTCTTTTAGATGAAGACATGGTCGCAAAGGTTGGAGATTTTGGGCTTGCCAAGTTGTTGATTGCAAGAACCGGCACTCAATCTTCGACGAATGTCTTGAAGGGTTCCATAGGCTACATACCTCCAGGTCTGTTGTTTCTTTCTTAGTTACTGATAATTACTAGTTTTCTTTCTTATTAGTAACCCTATTTCAGATACTTTAGTTGGGCATAAAACTAAACTGATTATATAGCACTAAGGTATTGTGAACTCGTTGTAATACACACTTTTGACAGGATTATGGTTTCATTACTTTACGACTATCAAGTAATGGTTTTTGTGTTCAAATCTTGTCATTTCATATTCATGTCAAATTATTAGTCAACTCTATCCCGACATTTTTGATTAATCAGGGAAGACAATTTGATGTTTATCTTACCTATTTAGTGATTGAGTCTTATTCACAGTTAACCCATGAACCAAAACAATACAATTAAGGTTTTTTTTTTTTTTTTTGTCTCAACCAAAGCATCTATTCATAGGATTTTATCAACTAACATCCATTTGGTCAAAATACTTGCAAAACTAAGTAAAAAAAATCACTAATCTACAAGATTAAGAAATGAAAATAATGTGAAAACCGGGTTACTCAAGTTTGGCACTTGCTAGCCTCTCTCTTTTATTATTTGTGTTAACCGATCATATTATTTTCATGTTCTAATACGAACTAGTTAATCATAATGTGCTAAATTCATTTTGACTTTTGTTATGTTAACGTATCTCGTCGAAAATCGTCACTTCTGAAGTAAATGTTTCTATGTTAAACAAAACATGATTTATGGTGAAGAGTATGGCCTTGGGGAGAAACCATCAGCTGCAGGTGATGTGTACAGCTTCGGAATTATGCTGCTAGAGCTTTTCACCGGAAAGAAACCAACCCATGAGAGCTTCGTCGGAGGGATAAACCTAAAGAAATGGGTACAATTGGCTTTCCCAAACAACATGGAGCAAGTTCTGGACCCTGAGCTACTTTCAGAGATTGAAAACTTTGGTTGTGATGATCAATCCATTAGCCTAGAAATACGATGTGATTGCTTGAAAACAGTTGTTGGTATCGCGTTATCTTGCACTTCTGATTCTCCAACTGAACGTATAAGCATGAAAGAAGTTTATCGTAAGCTGCAATGTGTTAAAGAAGACCTTCTCAAACCTGATGTTACAGAGAAAAACAAGTTTAAAAATTTGAGGGCAAGAAGTTAAGTTTTTCTCTGCAACTTATCTTATGATTTTATTAAGAATGAATAAGGAGAGTATCTAGATGTTTTGTTCATTTGTAGATACAGTAGTAGAGATATTTGAAGGAATGTTGGTCAATGCTGCAAAGGTATGTATGTACTGAGCATCAATGTGTAAAGTCAAATATCCTGTTCTTACATTAAAACTTCTTGTTTTTGAGGATAGCTCTTTATACCGTAAGTTTTTTATTTCCCCCTCGGTAGCGTATCAATTACTAATTTTTTGGGTCAACTTATAAATTTTGGGAGTCAAGTTATAATTTTTTGGAATATTTATGATTAATCCCACATATTTCAAGATCGATCTTTCACCCCCAAAAATTGTAATTTCATCTCAAAGAGTCATAATGTGACACAAAAAAAAAATTATAACATTTTTTTATTATAATTAAACTCCCAAAAATTTTAATTTTACTCACAAAAATTATAAATTTTAGTCTTATATCTACTTCGGTACCGTAAACAAACCCTGTTTTGAAATATTTAATTGTATGGATGTAAAACTCGGTACTCACAAATATATTTGTCAGCCCACTTTTTTTTTTTTAGGTTAATAGCCATTTCAATTCCCAAAATATGCTTTTGTTGTCGGTTTGATTTTTGTTGTATTAATTTGATTAATTTAGTCTCTAAAATTACAATTTATATCACTTCGATCCCTCATCAGACATTTCGTTAAGTTTTTTAACAAAAGTGACAACGTGTCATTCTTTTAAATTGTTTCACGTGACCAACACGTGATTATTCTGTCAAAAAATTAATTATTCATTTGTGTAATGACTATTTAAACACAAATTGAATACTTTAAGGACTAAATTGATAAGATTATTATTTTAGAGACCAAATTGACAAAACATGTATATTTTAAGGACCACAAATACTGTTAACATTTTTTCTTTGAACCTGTGAACCATTTCATTTGGAATATACATTTGATTTGAAATTTTGATTAAAGTAGAAATCTAGGAAGAACCAAGAAACCAAGAAAGTGGGCTGACAAATCCTGTCCAAATACTTTTTTTTTTTTGGAGGAGATCTCACAAATATAAATTCGAATAATATTATTGGGACTAAAAAAATAATTTAATTTATTGA